GTGTGCTGGGTGGGCCCAGGGGCGGTCATGTAACCCTTTCAGGGGGGTTGTTCTAGGTGGGGGGTCTTCACAGTGGCAGTGACCCCAGGGGAGAAGGACTGGCCACGGTGAGAAGGGTCACAGGAAGGCTGCTGTACAGTGGGGGGGAGGCCTTGAATGCCGGGCCCAGGGGTTGTCAGTGGGCACAGGGTACCCTGGCACCCCTCTCCCACCCCAGTCTTTCACCCCCAAATTGCTCCTAAGAGGCATGGAGAAACTAGAAATCCTTGTTTCCCTCTGCCCGTGCCTCCTTGGTTCAACACTCCGGAGGCCTCCCTTTGCCCAACTCCCCGGGGCCTTTTCCCCAGACGCCCTGGGGGCCCTCCTGGCAGGTCAGTAAGGCTGCAGTGAGTCTGACTGCGGCTGGGGTTTCTGGCTGGGGCGGGGCCGCCCTGTGGCTCCGACTCTTTCCAGGGGCAGGGGGAGCTGGGGACTTCCCGGGACGGCCCTGCACCCACTTTGGGAAGGTCACACAGGACGTGGGCCGTGCTGGCAGGTCTGCCTCTTAGGTGGGTCCCGGGGAGCCTCCAGCGACCCCACGGGTAAACAGGATTCCGAGCACGGCAGCAGCTTTCGTGCAAGGTGAGGTCTGGAGGGCACTGCCGTGGGTTTCTGGGGGATGAGCCCCCGGGGTAGATAAGGAAGACCTGGGCATTGGAAAGCTGCTGCTTAATCACTTTGAAGATGGGGGTGAGGGGGTCCTGGGAGGGTTGTTGCTTCTCTGAGGGTCTTCTCCGTTTGAGGACTTGAAGAAGCTATCATGAGAAAAGTGGCCCAGCATGTGTGAAGCTTGGAAAAATCATCCGAAGGGGCAACACTAGTGTGAAATGTGTTCTGGTTATGTTCAATTGCATGTAAATGTCAGCGTCCCTTTCACAAAACTTCCTGTCTCTGGAGAGACGTGCTATTCAAAAGGCAGGGATTCCCCCCCGCCCCCAGCTGTATCCTTCCTCCTGGGCCAGTTTTGAACCATTCACAACAGCAGGTCCCTCTTCCCCCGCCTGCCCCCTGGGGTCCCCGAAAAGCCTGTCGCCCTGGCTGTCCAGTCACACTCGGGGCGTCTAGACAGCTCAGGGTAGAGGTTTTTGGGTTTTATTTTTTCATTCCTTCATCATCCAGCCAATATTCCGTGAATGCCCGCTCTGTCTGGGCCGTCTGGGTGCCCGCACCGAGACGCCCAGACAGCACCGGCCCGGGAGGCCACCGCGTCTGAGCCTCTGAGTCCCGAGCCGCGACTGGGGCTCCTCCCCCCCGCGCCAGAGGGTGTCTCGCCACCACGGAGGTTTTGCTTTGCTGTAGCGTTTACGGGTGTTTTTTTTTAATGGAAAATTTTGAGCACGTGCAGGCGCTGGGACTGGTGCGGGGAGGCCCCCTCCTGCATCGCCCTGCACCGCGGGTGCCAGTCCTCGGCCGGCTCGTCCGGGCGCGCGGACCGGACCGTCTCTGTTCTGGAAAGATCGGGCTTAGGGAAGGCACTGAAGTCCGAGAAACGGTCAGTGGGGGCTCTTGTGCTCTGGGGGTTTGAACCGTGCTCTGGTTTCCTGGGGAGCTCCGACCAGGGGCAGCGAGCTCCGTGGGAACCCCAGAAGTGGGGCCGGGCTCTGGGGTGAGCAGGTGTGTGGGCGCCACCTCCCCGGCCCGGCTGGAGTGGGGAGACAGGCCGTCGGAACCAGAGCAGTCTGACTTTGACCTTCCTTTTTTTTTTTTTAGGGGGTAGAATTCTGCATAAGGCTTCATTTAGGGGAGAAATTATTTGAACTGCTGAAAGCAAGTTTTGGGGGGCCACTCTCCTAGAGGCAGACTGGGGGTTGTCTTCTCCAGCCCCCTCCTGGCTCTGCCTTCTCCCCAAAATGCTTCAGTCGCTGGGGGGAGTAGACACAGGTCAACAGTAGGGTAAACCGGCAGCACCCACGGCGAGAGCTGCTGGGTGTCGGGTGCCAGGTGGCTTCAGCCACCAGGTTTTGGGGTGTGGGATGTGATCTGTGTTTTCTTCCTGCGAAAGTGGGTTTGGAGCATCCGTGGGGCGGGGGCGTCTTCTGTTGCAGCCGGACCTCCCTTCAGTCCCTGCCAGATGGACTAGCTGTTTAGACTATGTAGAACCTCCTGAGGCCAGAGAGGGTTTGTCTCGGTGTCACTGTTTCGCCAAACCTTCTAGAACAAAGCAGGTAGTACCCGGCCTTTCTGGATGGGGGAGCCGTGGTTTGCTCTCTTGAAGGTTCAGAGTAGAAACAGCAGGAGCGAAGGTAGGATGTATTTCTAGCAGAATAAGTCACCGGCCGCCCATGGCAGATGTCCGCTTGGACAATTTTTCGTCACTGTGCCCAGCTGGGCAGCCCGCCGCGCCATCCTGGGCTGCGTGTCTTCTCGGCCCTGACGCCTGCTGTCTGTGCCATGGGGGCCGGGGGCGGGGCGGGGCGGGCAGCGGCCCTCGTCCCCTTAGTGTGGGAGCCGTGCAGGCAGGGGTGTCGTGGAGGTTTCTAGAGGAGCGCTCATGGGCTGCATTTCGTGAGGACTGTACCGTTTTGCCCTGGTCCTCCTCACGCTGAGCAGGACACTTTGGGGAAGCGCCTACTGAAGGCAGCGCAGGTGGGGGGTGTCAAGTTAAGGCAGCCGGTGACCGTGCACACCGATTGTCCCAAGCTGGGCCCAAGGCCGTCGTGTCCCCAGAGGACCTGTGCACACGGGCCACCTTTTCCTTCTGGGTTTAGACCTGCTCGCTTAAGATTCATCGAACCCTCTCCGCGTGCCGGGCCCCGTTCTCGGCACTTCCCACCCATTCGCTTGTGTATCCCTGCTGAGCGTGCTGCTGGGTGTGGCTCGGCGCGCCCATTTTACAGATGGGGAAACTTGAAACACGGAGGTCAAAGACCTGGCCTGGGGTCACCCTGCCGAGGGGTCAAGCCAGACGCAGACTCAGCCTGTGCTCTGAGTCACCACCCTGCGTGGCCTCTGAGTGTGGCGAGGCTCGTGATCTGGGGAGGGTGGGTCAGAAGGCAGCCGTCACCGGGCTACTGTGCAGGTCCACTGTGCCCTACAGGTGTGGCGGATGGCACCGGGTGCTCCGGGGGCACGTGCCCCTGCCATGTCTCGGCGGCCGGCCCCGAGCAGGCCTGCGGTGGAGGCCGGATGAACCGACCAAGGGTCATTGCAGAGGCCAGAGGCCTGGAGGTGCCGAATCCTGTGGTTTTCCCTTCAGGAGTGACCAGGACAGCTTGAACATGCTCTCCAGTGTCTACTTGACATTTTCTGTATCTCTGCTGGGCCGTGAACGGATCTGCCTGTGTCCCCCGGACCCTGCCTTCCCGGCCGCCCCCCCCCGCCCCAGTAACCCAGAAGGAGGGCTGAGCTGCGGGAGCTGGGGGCGTCCCGTCCTGCAGGCAGCTGCCCCTGGACCCTCCTGAAGGGGGCGTCTCGACGCCCCCTGCCCACCTTCCGTGTGTCCAGAGGGGGAGACCCGGGGAAGGTGGAGGAGGGAAGTTGGAGAAATGAAGGGCAGGCCCCCCGATACCCTCTCTGCTCTTTGTCTAGTGAACCCCACGAAGAATGTCAGAAAATTACTGCCTTATCACCACCGGGTTTCCCCCTGGCCAGACTGGGGCGTGGGTCTTCTTTCCCCGCCTTGTTTTTCTGCAAGAAAAAATCAGTCTGAAGTGTCAGACTTGAATTACCTTCCCGAGGGACACTTCCTGTGAATATTTTGAGGGAAAAGTGGCTCATGTTAATGTTCGTACATGAAATTAGGGTTTTAAACTGGGTCACAAACTCATGTGCCTCGAGGGGTCCGGAAGAAGGCGCAACTTGGCTGCCAGTGGGAGGCTGTAGGGTGGGGGAGGACTGTGCCAGAGTGGAACCCACTGTCCTGAGTGGCCCCTCCTACCTGGAGGAGCAGCGTCCAGTGCACTGATAGCGTCCATGTCTTTCTCCCCCTAGGAGAAGCTGGGAATCCAGAGTTTTGAAAAACGTGGGTGAATAATTTTGTTGGTTTTTTTCTTGTTTGTTTGTTTCTTTGTTTTAAAACAAACAACACATTATTAAATGTCTGTGCCCTCTGAGTACAGATGAAGAGGACAAGGTCAAGGAGCCCAGTGGGGTCCCTTAGCTTGGGGCTCAGGGTGCCGGAGCCGGAGCTGGGCCTGCTGATGCCCCGCCGGGGTTGCTCCCCGCCTCGCCTTGCTGTGTCCTGGGGACGGTGGGAGGGCTGGGAACCAACTGAGCAGATTCCACTCACTGCCCCGCGGGGGACCGAGCCCTGAGACAGCCCCACGCGCCTCGCTCCCCTGCAGATGTCGGCGTCCGTGGCTGCCCAGTGGCTGCCGGGCACCAAGTGCTTCATGTGGGTGTCTGGTGGCCCCGACGAGGCCCCTGGTAGGTTCTGGTGTCCCCATCTTCCAGATGAGGACACTGAGGCTCAGAGAGGATCCACTGAGAGGATGGCGTGGATTTCTTTCAATGAGGGTCAGATTCCTGAGCCGGGACTTTTAAGCCTGTTACCTGTGGTGACCGGGGCCCTTAGACGTGTGTTTCACCCTTGACCTCATGCAGGCGAACTTGCCCACGGGACGGGCGATGCCTCCTGCTCCCATCCATGCCCGTGCATCCCCTGCCGTGTGGTGCGGAGGCCACGCTCCCCTCCTGCACGGGAACCTCCCGGGGTGGGGGGGGGGGCCCCGCACCTCTGCTCACAATGTTGCTGACTAATTCTCTTTGCCAACGGTTCAGTTTCACATGTTCGAGTTTCCAGTAACTATGTGGGTGGATTTGTTTCATTTAAGGGGAAAACAAAACAAAACAAAACATGGAGGGGGTTTTCTTTCCCAAGAAGAGGACTCACCAATTATGGGTTTCAGTGCGTGTGACTCCGGGCATCCTGGCGCACAGTTCCGCAGCCAGCGGGGCCTCTTGGCAGGCAGGCTCCGAGGTGGAAATCGCTTAGTCATTTATACGTGGGGACCGGGCGCGGGAGGTTAGGGAGGTGCAGCGGCCACCGGGTCCTGCGCAGGGAACCACCGTGGCCCCCTGCTCTGCCCTACTCAGCCCTGCCCAGCAGGGCAGGGGAGGGGGAGCCTGGAGGGGGAGAGGAAAGGTGGCAGGTGAGACCGCCAGCCTCGTTTTCCCTGGGCTCGCTCCCCTCCCAGGGGAGCTGGGCTGGGAAGGAGACAGACACTTCCCTCCCGCCCTGCCGGCCGGGCTGCCTGCTTGCGGTGAGTTGGAGACAGTGGTGCCCGCAGGCGTGTTCCATGCCAGGGGGATGGGGGGCGGTGAGAGGCAGCCTCCGGGGGACAATGGGGGGCCGAGTGTGTGTGTGTGTGTACACATGTGTGTCTCCGCGCACAGGCTCGGCCAGGTGATGTGAGCACGCCGCTGGTTTGGGTGGGCGCTGGCCCAGCCGAGCAGGGTCGGGTGTTGGCATCAAGCAGGGTCCTGGGGTCTCCACGATGCCCCACATCGCGGGGGTGGGGGCGCCGGGGGGCTTGGGGCAGCCACTGGGCATAGGTGGTATCTTAGAGCTCATGCGCCCCTTCAGAGCACAGCAGGCGGTCTGTCATGTGCAGCTTCCGGTCCGTGGGGTTCTCCTCCGGAGGAGGCCACCGGGGAGCCGTGTGGGGTCTGGGTGTGGCGGCCGGAGCAGCTAGGGGCCCGGCCAGGGAGGCAGGTGGAGGTGGCGGGAGTGTAGCTCCGGTACTTCCTACCTCTGCAACCCGGGCCTCGGTTTCCCGTCTGTGAAATGGGGGTGGGTAAGGAGTACTTCGTGGATGGAGGGGGTGGATGTGGGTGAGCTGTCCGGGGCAGTCCCTCCGGTAACTGGGATCCGGGACCTCACCTTCCGTCTTCCTTCCTGCTCTGGGGTGGGAACAGGCCTTGGGATTGATAAACCTTAATCCTGGCCTTGGAGAGCTTGCTTCCTGTGCTTGCTAGAAGGGAAGAGAGCACATAGGCCAGAATATCTCAAACAAGATCATTTTAGGCAGAGGGTAATAGAAGGAAAGATAAGTGGAGTTCTGGAGGATTTTAATGAGGATAAGGGTTTGTGCTTCTCGGGTGAATCCAGGAAGGCTTCCTGGAAGAGGTGACATTGAAGCTGGACCTTCAGATATGGAAGAACTGGGGGTGGGGAGGAAGGGAAGAGCTCTGTCACTGGCGTCAGGGCACGTGCGTACGCAGAACCGCCAGGTGCTTAGATGGTACCTGGCGTGTAGTGAGCAGTTAATAAACGTCATCATAAAAATCAGTATGACTCCAGGATTTTCAGGTATCTGAGAAAAGAGTGTGTGTGTGGGCGGGGGAGGGGGTTTTTAGGCCACCAAGTGGGAAAAGATTGTTTCAAAGTTCTGTGCAACAGATTTCCTGGGTCCAGGGAACCCATTTATTTTTCTTTTTTCCGGAGCTCTGCAGTTCCTCGAGCTCCTTGGGTGGCACTTTTCATTCTGTGACCTTCCATGCATTCCACACGTCTGCTAGAGCCTCTGTGTGCCGGGCTGTGTCCTGCACTGGGGGCCTCGTGGGGCACACAGACGGGAAACAAGGACATAGGTGAAGACCCAGGGGAGGCCCGGCCCTATCGCTGTCTCGTGGCGGGTTGGGGGGGGGGGCGGTGTTGAAAGACCAGGCTCTTCTGGAACTCCCCGGGGCCCGGGGCCTGCCCTGGAGCGGCCAGGACCCCTGCGGGCTCTGACTCCGGTCCCCCGGGGGCCAGGGGAAGTGGCTGGACAGTCTGGGCTCCTTGGCAAGCCAGGTGGGGACCGCAGGAAACAGCTGTGCTCACTCTCCCTTTCCGGGCAGGTCGGGGAGGCACGGCGTTGGTTCTGGAAGCTCCAGTCTGGGAGGGACGGCATTTCCTGTGGCCCGATGAGGGGGGCGGGGGGCGGGGTCTGGGCCGACAGCGGGCGAGGGGTGAGGGTGGACCCGGGCACCCAAAGACCCAGATGCACCCCTGGCTCCTCAGCTGGGGATACCCTGGTGCCTCAGCTGCCACCTCCACCCTGGTCCCTCCCGGGTCTGCGCCGTCTCTGCTGTCTGTCCCCTTGGGCCTCTGCCCCTTTGCTTTTTCTCCTTGACCCCGTAGGCCCTGCCTGAGGCCCAGGGAGAGCAGGAGGGGAATCAGGACAGCACCCGTCACCTGTGGCCTACGGGGCCTCCCTGTCGTGCTCTTCTCTGTCCCCCAAGGCCCCCACCACCACCACCACTGTCAGATTCCAGTGTCCTAGGAGGACAGGAGTGTCGGTGAGAACTTCTGACCGGGACCCCGGACAATTACTGGGCCTCTTTGACCCTCAGTGTCCACATCCATAAAAATGGGCGTGAGACTCATGTGGCAGGGCGGAAGGAGAGGCCAGGTCCTGGGGGCCCCGCCGCTGCACCCCCTCCTCGGGACGTGGGACCGCTGCCGCTCCCCCCTGAAGCCCAGCTGAGGACATAGGGGGGACACTGTGGGTTAGGGGCTGGGTGAAGCATGGCCGTTGTTGGGGCAGGAGGAGGCCGTACCGTGGAGCAGCCCCAGGTGCCCCTCTGGCCCAGGGAGAGGCGGCCGCAGGGGCCAGGAAGGGGCAGGTGGGAGTTGGGCTGGGGCGGTGGGGGCGAGGGATTCTAGCCCAGGTGTGGCCGGTGCGGTGCGGGCAGGGTGGTGTTGGTAAGGCCGCGTCTTGAAGGATAGACTTCAGAGCACTGTCCAGCCTGGTGGCCAGAGACGGGACCGCCGCTCTGAGTGAGCTCCTGAGTCCACCCCCGCCGACCCTGGGGTGGGAAGCTGCTCCCTGCCTTTCCTGTCCGCAGGCAGCCAGCCCCAAACCTCCCAGGCAGACCCTGGCTGGGCCTGGCCCTGGGCCAGCCAGCCACCTGCCTTCCTGGTCCTGGGGTCAGCGGCAGGGCACTGTCCTCAGAAGGGAGGAAGGGATCCGTCCGTTCAAGCCCACTGAACACAGTGGCTTCAACTGTGGCAGCCAGACGTCCCTGTTCAGGGGACAGGGCCAGTGTCCCCTGTTCCAGGCTGGAGTCTGTGTGCCACTGTTTCTGGTCCCCACCCCCAACTTGGGTTTCTCTCTATCCCCCTCTTAAATGTCCCCAGCAGAACTTCCTCCTGCACGTACTTCCTGAGCACCTACGAGGTGCCAGCATTGTTCTAGGGTGGGGGGTTGCCGCGAGGATGAGACAGGCTGGGGCGAGGACGGGCCGCTGTCGTCCCTGGGCAGAAACTCCCTCCGTGCACCGGCAGGTGTGTGTCTGCCTTTCTCCCACCTGCGGTATCTCCCCCGCCCACCCCAGCTGGATGGCTGGAACCTCCTCTGGCCTTTCCTCCCCTGGCGCTGCCTCAGGTGTATGCACCTGTGGGGCGTCCCTGCCCCCCATTTGGTTGGGGGTCCCGGAGCACGTAATTGCTGGGGTGGTTTATCTGCAGTGGGTTTGCTCGGTGTTTTATCCTTGGTACTTGGGGGAAGCACGCACCCCCCCCCCCACACACACACATTCTGTTTGGCAAGCATTTCAGGCGGCGGAGCAGGAGAAATGGGTGCACCCTGCGGCACCAAGGGGGATGGAGACCCGGAGCTGGGGCTGGTCCCCGGGCTCGGTGCCTGCTGGGGGCTTGTACGGGATCGGGGGCTCAGTGGAAGACCTGCAGCACGGGCCGGGGTCGCTGACACACCCTCCAGGGCAGAGACCTCCGTTGTCACTGTTGGGCCCTGGTGCCTGCGTGGCACAGTGGTGGGGACACGTGGGGGCTCGGTGGGAACTTGTTGAATGAATGAATGAATGAATGAGTTAGCCAGCCTTTTCATGACCATGGAAAAGCGAGCATCTTTGACCCAGCTCATAGCTGGTCAAAGCTCGTAGCCTGTGGCTGTCTGTTGACTGTTGACTGTCTCCATGAGGCAGGGGCTCCATCTCCCTCGTCCAGCAGCCCCTGAGCCTGGGACAGCGCCCAGCCCACACAGGGGCTGAAGCAGCTGGGTGTTCCTCGGCCACCACTCTATCCCGGCTTTAGGGTCTGACCGCACTCCCAGGGGGCTGCCCCCCCATGGAGGCTGCCCCCCATGGAGGCTGACCGGGACCTCCCTTCCGAAGGTGACCTGGAGGCTGGGCTCTGTGTCTCTTGTTTCCTTGTGGGGGACTTTTCATATTCATCACCGCTGTTTGGGAGGCCAGTTTTACTGGGACGGGATTATGGGAAAAGTTGGTGTGACCAGGAGGGGTCATCCTGAGGCTCTAGTGGAAGACCTCCCTTCCCCCTTTAAGATGGGGCATCTGACTTCTCCGCTCTCTGATCCTGTCTCCCAACCCCTGAGGGTCTGAGCCACTGGCCAGGCCAAGGCCATGGACTACGGCCGCAAAAGGCGGCCGGGAAGGTACAGTTCTGGAAACGGCCCTGCTTCCCTCTGCACCTCCTCCACCCAGGCCTCCCCTGGCCACAAAGATGACAACAGTTAAACCTTCGTTTAGTCTGCAGAGCATCGCAGGCAGGGGCCGCAAGCATTTACATTCCTCGGGCTCAGCCGATTCCTTTGCGTCGCGTTCCCGGGCTCGTGGTGCGTGCAAGGGGGAGCTGGGACCCGTCACAAAGCCTGCGTGGCCTGCACGGCCCTGGTGGCCTGCGACCACGGGGCCCGTTCTCGGGAGAGGGCAGACCCCGCGCCGCCTCATCTGCATGCGCCCTGACCTGTCCGTCATCACCGTGGCATGCACAGAGACGTGTTTCCGCCGTCCGCCTCCTCGGACCTTCAGCAAACACGTGCTGTGCAGCCGACGATGAGTGCCGGAGCCGGAGCCGTTTGAGCAGCTGGTGAGCCCGGGAGGGAGGCAGACCCGGCCGCTGGTGGAGGCTGCATTTCGTCACCTCTGAGCCCCGTCGAGGGGAAGGGTCACCGTGTTTCAGTGACTTGTCCCGATCGTCGCCGGAACGTGCGGCTGACTCCAGGAAGTGAGGACGTGACTCACGCTGAGTCACAAGAGACCGGACGGGGGCACGAGGCTGGCCTGGTCATCGCCAAGTTTGCGGGAGAAGCTCGCTCCGCTTCAGCGGGTGCCCGGGGGGCAGCGTCGGGGCAGAGTGGGGCTGGCGCGTGCAGCAGCGGCAAGGTCAGTGCCGCTGGGCACCGTTGACCGAGGGCCGGCCATGTGCGGGCCCCTCTGGACTCTAGCTGTCCATTTACTCGCTATGTAGCCTCGTGTCCTGGCGGGCGAGGAACGGCCACCATGTGTCTGTCATACG